CCATTACCAGGGTAATTTAGACTGAACGACCATCTTGATTTGGTCAGCGATGATTGCCAAGAGTTCAAGGAGGAAGAGCATACTTTGGTCAAATAAGAAGAGCTCACTTCTACCAAAACAGCTAACACACATTTTATTTTTCTCCTAGTTCCTGGAACTAGAGGAGATTCCCTTTCCCTGTATGGGAAGAGAACACTTTCTCAGAATGACTTACAAAGATAACTTTCCCCTTCACATTCCAGGAAGATCACCCACTCAGCTCACTATTCTTTACTTTCTAACTGCTCTCTCCAGTCCTTCCCTCACTCCTGCCCAGTTGCTTTCATATTCACTGTCCTCTGACACTCCTTCTCAGTTCCCTCCTTTCGCTTCCCCTTTTCTACTGGGATCTGGAATAAACAATTTTCCGGTTCTTTTTTCTCAAAAAAGAAGAAATAGGTTTCATGTAGTCATTAGTAAAAATAAATGTATGTTGATTGAAATACAGCATTAGACAACCTTAGCAAGTTCAAAGTTCTAATTAAATTCCTTTGGGCTGATTATCCCCTGCATACATATATGTCACTAAAATAAATCTGTTTCAGAGTGAAATTGAACTAATGAGTAAGGACAGTGAAACTGAAAATGCCCGCAACCTCAGTGGAAGATAACTGAACTGCTGAAATAGATGAGTGATCGTCAGTGTATCATGCCAAGTTCTGTGGGTGGCTAAAATTAATCCATGCACCTCAACAGTCCTTGGTCTCTTTGCCCCCCCCCCCCCGCGAACAAAACGCATGCAGGGCACGCTGGCCACGGGCACAGCTCTGCTGCAAGGCAGCCGGCAGGCACCAGCCGCCACCTCCAAGGGTAACGCCAGCCCAGCCCCTCGGCCCTCGGTCTCTCTCAACCGGCACGCTCGCCTTAGGCTTCTTTATCGCTGTTTTGTGTCCTGGGGGCACCGTTCCGGTTACAGGCTGTGCGTGCAATCTGGTCTCAGGTACGGAGGCCGATGGCCCTGTGCTGAGCTGCCCCCCTTTCTCTGAAGATCCATGTTCTCCGTGAGGCAGTTCCTTAGGTGCCTCTATCAGGTCCTCCCTCTCCTTCTGGGAAACCGACACTCCAGCACTGTCCCAAAGAAGAACCAAGGAAAAGATCCGGACCTCCTTTTCTGGTGAAGTCCATATTGCTGGGTCTCCTCTCCCCGTGTGGGTAGATTCCCCCAAAGAATCACATGTTTTGCTGGGATGCTTCTCTGCACATCGCTCATCTTTGGCCCAGAGATGGGATCTCAAAGATCCTTAACTGTTTGGCACCTGGGTACCTTATCAATAAATGGGGTTGCTGTGTGGAACTTCCTGGAACTGAGACGACCTTGGCTGGGGTATTTGCATCACCAGGCCAGCATCCAGCATGGGGCAACTATTATCTCTTTGGTTTTCAGTAGAAAGCTGCAATTTATCATAAAACAGAGTTTCTTCCTCTTTGATGTTATTGTGTTGTCAAGCCATTTCTGACTTATGAACAAGAGCTCTCCAAAATGTCCAGTCCATGACAGCCCTGCTCAGCTCTTGCAAATTCAGAGTCATGGCTTCCTTGAAGGAGTCAATCCATCTCCGATTTGGACTTTTCTTCTTCTGCTTTCGACTTTCCCTAGCATGGTTGTCCTCTCCAGGGAGTTTTGCCTGATCATGATGTGCCCAAAGTACAACAGTCGCAGTTTTATTCTTGTTACTAGGGAAAGCTCTACCTGGTTTTGATCTTGGAACCACGTGTTTGTCCTTCTGTCAGTCCAGGGTGCTCACAAAATTCTCCTCCAGCACCAGGTTTGGAAGACATTAATTTTCTTCCAGTAAGCTTTATTCACTGTCCAGCTTTCAGACCCATACAAGTCATCAGGAATGCAAGAGTGCGGAAGTTTCTCTGCCCCAGTCACCATCAGAGACAACCAGTGCTTTTTTTGTCATAGAACGCACTGGAACGGAGTTCCAGCACCTTTTTTTGACAGATTTTCCAAGTTTTAAAGGTAACTTTTGAAAATTTGATGTTTGGTCCACGTGGATTCGAATCACCCTGTCAAGCGTAGCAGGTCAGCGGCAAAATCATTACAACGGTACATGCGGGCTGCTTGTGTGTCGAGTCTGATGCGTGCGCACTTTGTCCGCACTGGTTCTGAGGGTGCTGCTCAGCTTGTGGTTGGTCGTGTGGTCGCGCGCTGAGTGCTTACTGCGGGCGGCGACCGTTATGTTTCGTTACACAACTGACGTGTGTGGGTGTGTGTACAGTGATTGACTACGTGTGAAAGGTAAATAATTTCATGAGTTCTGGCACCCTTTTTCTTACAAAAAAAGCACTGGAGACAAGCATTCTCTTCTGCTGCTTGAGGTGGATACTTCTTTGCATGGTGCCTCAGGTCTGACCATTGCATCTTGGGTGACCCGGTTAGGAGACCAGCCCAGCGAGACAGCCTGGTCTCCTGGCAGCATCGCTTGCCGTTCCTCTAATGCTCTCCAGGCTCCTCAACACAATCAGGTGTGCAAGGCAGAGGACTTTCTTAGACCCGCGTCACAGGCAGTGAGTACGGTCTGGCTAAGTGGGCCACTCTTGGCCATCCACACCAGACTGATAATAAAATCATACTTTTATCCTGAATTTTTTACAAGCATTTCAATAAAAAAAAATCTGAGTAAAAGTATGTTCCATATTTTGTCTTTAACTGAGGAAATTAGCTGCATAATTTGCAACTTCTGCCAATTCCTCAGTGGAATCCGTGATGCCAAATAGCAGGGGTTGTTACTCAAGGAAAGAGGATGTTTACGAGGTTACTAATAGGAGATGAGGGAATAAGGCGCCATCTGTGAGGATTATGTGGTGAAGATGAGTGTGTGAGACTGAATATTCTTCTTCTAAAGAGCTGCAATATATTTAGCAGGACCATTTTTGCCTTGACAGTGTTGCTGATGTTCACATCCATGAGCAAGAAAGAGCAAGTGGGAAGAAGCTTCAGTTCATCAGCAAATAAATATCCATACAAGAGCAAGATGCAATTTCCACAGAGACAGAAAGACAAAGAGAGGGAAACCTGATTTGCTGTAGGGATCATATTGTACCCCATAAATCCTAGATAACGGTGTTACCCCAAATCATGTACCTTTTTGTGTTATCTCCTAGTTTTCAACACAGATACAAAGGAAAATTAACTGAGAGGCTAACTATTTCAGCAACATTCTTATTCTTATTGTGGGTGGGTGGGTGAGTTGTGTGTCACTGTTTTCCAAAGGCTGCCATTTTTTCTTCATTTTACCAACATTCATCTCATTATCATATGCTACTTTCCACAAGGCAAAGTAAAATTTCAAGACAACTTACGTAAAAATTGCACCATAAAGTCAAGAGAAAAGTAAGTATGTCCAACAAAAGGTAAATCCTTCTATGCCTTCAAGATTTCTCTAGATAAAAAGATTTTAACTAACCTCTGGGAAAAGCTCAACTGAGCTAAAACAACACAAAATTCCATAGACAGACAAGTCCAGGACATAGTTACAATAATTAAGTAATGGAATAAAATATGAGCTAATAGTGAAATTAGATAAATCCACGGAGGATTGGCTGAAGCAGCCATTAGGCGCTCAAAAGAATCTGCAAGTACAGAGGCAGCGCACCGCGAAATACCTGCTGCTGAGGGGCAAACAGCAGCCCAAGCTTGCTGTCTTCATGTTCAGCTTGTAGACCTCTGGGGGCATCTAACTGGTTTGTGTTCAGTGCACATTGCTTACTTGGACCCCCGAAAGGCTTTCGACAAAACCCCTCACCAAAGACTCCTCAGTTATCTTAGCAGCCATGGAAAAAGTGGGGAAGTCCTCCTATAGAGCAGTAATTCGTTCGAGTAGAAGGCAGAAAATAGGAATAAACAATGTATTCTCCCAAAAGAAGCATGCCATGCCTTTCAACCTACTAATACATGATCTGGAATTAGGAGTGAGCAGTAAAGCAGCCAAGTTGATGAGAACACCAAATTCGGTAGCAGGGTTCAAACAAAATGCATTGCAGGTACGTAGCTCTAAAGAGGTCTCTCCAAACTGGGTGAAGATGCCTTAAAATGGCAGGTGGGGCTCAGGGTAAGTACACAGGGGCAAAAGATCCCCGGTGCAAGTATAAGCCGGAGGGATCTGAGGCAGCACGGACTGGCTCAGGTCAGGGCCTCGGAGTCGTGTGCAGCTGCTGTGAAAAAGGCAAATTCCACGTTAGGCATGATTAGGGGAGAAACTGAAAATGCCACTGCCAAGATCATACTCCTTCGTACAAATCCACGACACCGCAGCATGTGGGATATTGTGCACATGACAGTTCTGGTCACGATGCCTAAAAAGGCCATTGCAGAGTTGGGAAAAGTGCAAAATGTGCGAGTAAAATGATCAAGGGACCAGGACGCCACCATTACGTGGAAAGACCACAACATGGTTGACAAGCTGGTGCTAAGAAAAGGTAAATGAAGGGAGACGTGATAGAGGTATGCAAGGTTATGTGCAGCATGGAGAAAGCGGGTAAGGAAACATTTTTCTCCTTTCTCAGAATATTAGAATGCAGAATTCCCCACGAAGCTGACTGGTGGCGAATTCAGGACAGGGTTAAAAAAATGGCGTTCTTCACACAAGGCACACAACTACAGAACTCACTTCCACAACCTGTAACGATGGCCACCGATTGTACAACTTTAAAAGGAAGATTGACAAATTCAGGGAGGACAAGACTATCCGTCGGTACTAATCCTGAAGGTTATTTGCTACTTCCGGTCTCAAGATGATATGCCTGAGCTGATGGGGAACACGGGCAGGAGGTGTGGCTGCACTCATGACTTCTTGCGGGTTTCCTATGGGCAGCGGGGGGGGGGGGGGGGGGGGCACTGTCTGAGCAGAATGCTGGCCTGGCAGTGCCTTGCAAAAGTATTGCTCCCATGGACTACCAGTAAGAGGAACTTCATGTCTTACAGCTGCTCTGAGGCCCACCTGCAGCCTGTCAGAATGACCAAGAGGACTAACGTCCAGCGAGCAGTGAGTGCTTCGGACCGTTGGTCCCAGTCCTGGCTGTTATCCAGGCAGCTCAGCGGGTCTTCAGCAGAACGCCAAAAGTGTGCCATGGATCGGGTGACCACTTGGCTGCTGGCTAAGCAGCTGGTTAAAATTCCTATGCCAACTTTCAGAATGCTCTGGGATTTACTCTTGCCAGGACCATCTCTTTTGTTTCCCTTCCACGAGTCTCAATCACCTACTTCCATATCATTATCCTTGTCTTGCAAATTAGCTCCAAGGAAGGGCACAGAACAGCCTTTTCAACCTGTTCCCCCCACTCAGTTTTGGTTAGCACTGACTGCTCCTCCATCGCCATGGCATATTTTTCCTACAGAGCTGACATGCCCCTCCCTGTGATCAGTCCTCCTATTTATACTCTGAGAAGTAAAGAAATCAGAAGTGCTGTGAAAAAGTTGGTCATTCTAAAAAGAAAAAAAATCAATGGGAGGAAAAGAGAATCAATTTAGGCAAAGCAGAATCACTAATTTAGGGACTTCATAAAAACAATGTTTTGGCTTAAGTTTTACATGCAGCTTACAAGATCAATGGGATCTAAGTATAAATAATTGGACTGGGGATCCAATCCAATCTAAGGTCCTTTCTGAAGAAGTGAACGGTATAATGGGGATATAAAGCCTTTTGAAGCTTAACGATTGAATTGAAATTGTGCTCTTTTGTTTCTGCAAAAAAATTAAAAAATCAGTAATCCACCATTACTGATTTTTTAAAAAGATCAGTATGATAAATGCATAATGAATCTGAAGCTATGTGGAGATAATCAGCTATTAGGGGAGGCATCATAATGACCTATTGTACTGTTTTGTCTCTGCCTGATGGTGATACTATTCCTGCCACTTCTCTCAGCTAAATTAAAAAAAAAACAAACAAGTACGATGGATTCTCTGTGACAGCATCTCCAGTCCCTGATAGGATGTGTGGCTGCTTAGTCCAGCTGAAAAAGAAACGCAGCGGCACCTATGACATTGCAACACTGAAATAATTAATACCGTGTTTGATTAGAAGATGGGCCTTAGCACAATCCATGGCATTTTCAAGATCCTAGCTCAGAAGACCACAGCCAAGAATAACCTAAAAGACAAATTGTCTAATTTATACAGTTAAGGAGGCTAAATATCAGACCACATGGGAGGCTAAATCACGGATGTGCCAGAGTGCTTTCAATGCTAGCTGTCATCTGATTTCATGCAAATCTGGTCCAATCTGCATTTTGAAGGGGCCAGAGAGAAATCCAGCCCCCTCCTAATTTCACTTCATGTTCCTCAGGGTTAACTCAAGAGCCCCTTTCTCAGGGCTTAACCACCTCAGGAAAATAAGACAATCCAAACAAACTTTTATTTATGCTACAGTTTTGTAGGGAGAGGTCCTTCACCAGCTCATCAGCGCCAGCCTCTGTCCCTTCACTTCTATGTGGCATCCTACCTGTCTACCAGGTGCCACAAGGAATTCAACCACCCACCCACCCATATTTGTTCATTGCAGGTGTGTGTGTGGTGGGGGGGTGTGGATCAATGAACCCTACAGTCCAACAGCTCATTATTCTCAATTTGTGATCAAAGCACAATGGCTCCTCTTTCACATGGTGCTGCTTGCTAAGACCCCCTTCAGCTCGAAACACATGAACACATTTTGCAGGTGTTGGGAAAATTTGGGTAAATCCTGTCTGAAAAGCATTACTTCTGTGTGCTTTTCGCATTGTGGGATCAAACCCTGTACTTCTCAAACCAAGCTAAGTCACTCTTTCAAATGGCCTTCATCCCCCGCTCCTTTCTCTCACCTTTAGCTGTAAGCTACAGTACACAGGCCATTTAGTCCAAATGTACATTGTATACCTTCACAATGATTAAATAATCATTGCTGGAATTCAGTTTTACAAGGAAGTAATCTTGATAGCCCAGAGGCTTCATGTGCCCTGATGTGCAGAATGTTTAGAGTCGAGATCTAAAGGGTCTGGGCTTATCATGAATAGTTTCTCAGTATCTTGAATTTGCATGTCTGAGCAGACCTGGAGATGGGTGCAAGTTACTCAACTAAAGTGTCAATACAGGCAATTAGAAATATTGTGATCTCATTGTTACTGTGTGATTGACTGACATTTCTTCATCTGTTCTGTATGTGATGACCTCAGAATCTCATTGTAATCTGCATTCTGTCATCGATTGCCCTGTACCTGTGTCCCCATAAATGCCCTGTAATGGTATTGAAACTTTGCAGCAGAGTTTACCGCTGCCTGCCCGGTAATGCACGCATTATCGTGAGGACTGCGGGAAACTTGGGGGTAAAACAATAAAGCCTAGATGGTCTGGGCGCTCGGTCTTTCCCACGAACCCGGGTTTTATTCCCTCTCGCAAACTGAGATTCCGGGATCCTGACGCAGGTCATCTGTGCTTCCATGCACACCTCTCACAGAGCCTCGTGCAGGAGACACGTGGGGAAGTCCACGCTTCCAGAGCGCCACAGACCCAAGGCTCTTCCAGTCCAGAGTTTTGGCCCTAGTTGCCAACCCGAAGCACAGCTTGCATGTGTTTATGCTCCCTGCTCATGCTCCCCAGCAGGGAGCATGAACACTTGGGAGGTCTCTGGTATGGGAGGTCGGGGCTAGTCATCAGTAGTCAGGGACTGTCGGAGCTGCGGCAGGGCAGGCCTCCGCTGCAGTTCTCTCATGCAACTTCCACCTAAAAGCCAAAGCTCTCCAGGCAGCTTACGACGACAATGACATTGACTACCTTGCCCAAATGTCACCGCTGCAAGCACGGCTTGGGAGTAGGAGTACAGAAAGATCCACATCCACGCCCACCAAGCTTCCGCCACCTGCCTGTGACAGGCCCAGGCCCAACCCCTCGCCCCTCTAGCCAGTTTCCTCAAGGATTACAGGATGGGTTTTCCCCATTGTTACCCGGAGAAGCTTCTGTGGACTGACAACAGGACCTTCTGTGTGCAAAGCAGGGCCTCTACCACTTGAGCCAGACTCTACCACAGAGGAAAGGTTCCATCACTTCTCTCCAGTGCACCTGACCAGCAGAGCTTGGTCACTTACCTGGCGCTGGGTCTTTCGGGCACTGCTGCTACTTCTGTCTGCACTTCGGATGCTGAGCCATGCCCCGTGGCGAGCGAGAAGCCTTTCCGATCCCGGCTGTCAACAGCCTGCGTGCTTCCTTGGGGCCCAGTGCAGAACGGCTCCCATGCACAGGGCAGGAAGCAACTCCGGCACGGGAGGGCTTGGGGCGATGTGCTGAAGCTGGCGCAGTGGAAGGCCTGTGCTCACAGCCGTTGCAATGTGCACGGTGGCTCCACCTGGGCCCCTCAGCTCTTTCCTCAGCCTGAGAAGAGCAAAAAGAGGCAGAGCCTTAAATAAAGAAAATCACCCCCCCCCACACACACACACACACACCACAGAAGTTTAAAGTTAGCAGTCTTCCTTTCCAATATCCCTTAGAAAGACCTTAACATGCCATGGTATGATCAGCAAATTGTAGATGTAATGGAAGAGGGAGTCGTCCTAGAATTAAAAAGCCTCATATAGCCAAAAATGCAGCCATCAACCCACAGGAAACCCACAAAAAATGCATATTCTTTTGTAAACATAAAAAGAACCCTCTGTGTGCAAATAAAACTCCTATTTGCATGAAATAAAACCAGCAGGAAAATTCGCACTCAAATCCTAGCACTTAACATTTTGTGAGCATTTCCAAAATCCAAAGAGTTTGGACACGATCCACTGGGAAGTTCCACTAAAAATCCCTACCAAAATAGCTTGCAGGTGCACCAGGGTGCGGTAAGAGCGTGCCAGCCTTTCAAGAAAGGCCGTGGGCAGAATTTTCACCTCATCTTGCGATCCGGAGGCCTGTACGGGAGTGTGGCCCCAGTCCCTGCAGCTCTTGCCCCACAACGCCTTGTGCGGTTTTGCAAGGGGCCTTCGGAGAAAGTGCGCATGGGGCAGCTGTGAGCTGTGAGGTGGGTATTTATTAGATTTATAACCCGCCTTTTTCCTGTTTTAAAGACCTCGGAGAGGCTTGCCTCCTCCTCCTCCTCCTCCTGCTCTCCATCTTACTCCCACAGAAGAGCCCTGTGAGGTCCTTCGGTCTGAGTGCCTGGGCCGGGCCCAAAGCCACCCAGTGGGCTCCCCACGGCCGGATGGGGACCAGCGCCCGGACGGCCTGCATCCCGCTCCCATGCTCTGAACCACTGTGCCACCCTGGCTCTCCAGACTCAGCTAGGGATAGAACATTTCGCAGCGCAGTCTCCAGAAAGCATGCCCTTTTACAGAGGAAAGGCACTCTTCACATGCTCAGGAGCATTTTGCCCTAGTGCTTTTTTTGAGGGGGGGAGGAAAAGGCCTCCCACAGCCCTGCTCTGCTCTCCCGTGCAGACTCCCAAGGCTGCGGTTCCCGGCGCTGAGGAGAAGGCAGCCATTTCTCCGCCCTGGGATCACCTGGGAGCGCAGAGGGCGAGCCTGCTTGGCCCGGGGGCTGCCTGGGGGCCCAAGCCCAGGTCCACGGCTGGAGGGGAGAGCGGCTGCAAGCCCTTCCCGGCAGAGGCGCTGCCCAGGCCCCCACCGGGATGGGGCCTCGTGCGCGCCTCGCAGGCCGGTTGCCGCAGGCGACGGCCGTGCCCACCGCAGGAAGGCCCGCCCGAAGCCGTCCGCGCACCGCAGCGCATTTTCAGTGCCTGCGCGGAGAGGGCGGCGCTGGGCGGTGGCAAGGCCTCAGGCCCGTGGGAAGGCCGGAGCGGTGCCCCGGCCTTTGAGCTCGTCTCTGTGGGAGCCATATTGGTTTGTTACGTTAGGCTCCCCATGCAGGATCCCCACAACAACAGCCCCGTGGAGGAGGTGAGCCCGGGGGCCCTGGCTGCCCGGAGTCCCCCAGGGAGCTCCGCCACGGCTGAGCCAGGACTCGAACCGGCAACTGCCTCGCGCCAGCGCTCCCACCGTTGCACCACGCCAGCAATGTACAAGTTAATTGTCCTCAAAAATAAATCTTTTACAAGAAGACCTTCCCCTGTTGTGTATTTTGGGCCTAGGCGCATCAGAACACAGACCTATTTTGGTCGACACCGCTCTCTTTGAAACACACTGTAAACCTATTTACGGTGGATTTAAGGCATGTAAAATGCTTTCATAACGCATGCCTTCTGCTTCAACTCTCAAAAGCTAAAAAAATTAAGGCAACTTTATGTTGGAATAAGATATAATTACAGCCTAAGCCGCAAACTCTGAGAAAGTCAACAGGCAGAATATATGCAGTACAAGAGCTCATCCAATAAATATCACACGATGGATTTGGGCCCAAGTGGACAGTTGCCAGCAGAAGCGGATGATGCCACGGAGTCAGAAAATGGTTGCACCTGAAGACGAAACGGCACCACGCACCTGCCCCCGTCCCCCCGGGGGGCAACGGGGGGCTGAATCCCCCATGTGCTGCCACATGGGCACTTTAGGAGGCTTCTCCCAGCCTGGCCAGTTTCAGGCACTGGAATCCAACTGGGAGAGAAGCTGCTGAGGAGAGACATGGCAGTTCTCACAAAAAGAGTGGAATCTGAGAGAAGGAAAATTACTGTTACTAAGCAGGAAGGTGATATCTGAAGCAAGGATGCATCAATAAAGATTAAAATAAGGAACTATATAAAGTAAAGAGCTGGGGTAAGGACACTGAGACCTTTATAAGGCCAAAGGGCCTGAGAACAGAACCATGTAAAGAGTGGCAAAAAGGAAATAGAAGAAAGTAGGCAGGTTCAAATTGGTTACCGGTGTAAACAAACAAGGGTAAGCTCATAGTATGGTAAAAATCCCCAGAGAGGTCCGCCTGGCGCTGTCGTTATTTGTTTTTCGGCGCCAGGCGAAGACCTTTTTATTTAAGCAGCATTTTAAATGTTAATATTATTGAATTTTATCTGGCCAGGGCGGCTTATTTTATATTGTATGTATTTTATTTTAATTTTTATATTTTTAATTATAATTATTTAACTAATTGATGTAAGCCGCCCCGAGGCTTCGGCAAATGGGGCGGCATAAACATGTT